TTTTTTTTTTTTAACGATAGGATTTTGGAATGTCCTGGGATTTACCTGGACTTTGTGGCCAGACCTCTGTTTAAATTTATCTTCAAAATGTGCTCTCTTAGTTGCTGGGAGCTCTGAAGGTAACCCTACTCTCTCATGGGGTCCTGGCACCTGCGACATGGTATCAGGGAACATTAACAAAAACACAAAGTTTTAGGAAAATATGGAACTAATAAGATACTCAATCTGAACTACTTCTACGCAGGAAAAATGACAGAATTTTATCCAGTAAGCCAATATCACGTAATTCTGTAGTACTTTCCTCTTTTAAGTAAAAATTAGTGGCCTCCTGTGCTAGTGCAATTCCCTGCTGAGCTCACCAGGACTTATACCATAACAGAACTCTGTTCTCATGGGATGCTCCAAAATGGTCCTTTATCATCAATGAATTCAGCTTTTGGTGATTCAACAAAATTCTTGCATGAAAAGATTTAGGCAGATTTCTGAGGTACATACTATTTTCACAGATCTCCTCTAAAGTGGCTTAGTATTTTTGAACTGTAAACATGTTTGGGCATGATATTCTGAGAATGCTATCACCAAAACTACACAGAGAGGTGTGTGCATGTACATGTAAGGAAAAGCATGTTTTCTCCTGAATACATAATTTCATTTTGGGCCCTCTATTCTCTTTTGGAAAAATAGAGAAAACAAAAAAAATGGTCTCAAACTCAACTCTCTACTTACAATTTAGTATTTTAAAATTTCTGCTGTCTCATCTCATAGGACCTACAGTTTCATTATGCTGCTTTATTATGGCTACTTTATCCATTTCTCACAGATGAGCTTACCAGCCAAGACAAAAATCTGTCATTTTACACAACTAGAGAATATATTGATGATTTACACCGTTTCTTATTGGCTTATAACAGACTGCCCAGAAATTTACCTGGATTCGTAGATCAGACATCTGTTTTAACAGATCCTCAAACAGCTCTCTGTCAGCTGCTGGAAGTTCTGAAGACAGCACTACTCCCACATAGGACCCTGGTATCTGGGACACTGTGTCAGGGAACATGTAGACCCCAGTATTGCAGCACAGAACAGGAGACTGGGTACACATCAGAGGATACAACCAGTCACAAACCTACGAAAAACAAGTACATAGAATCAAAGGATGCTTTTAAAAAGAAAGATAGGCAGAACATAATGATGCATGCCATAAACTTGATTTTGCATAAAGTTTCTAGTGGAACCTTCTAGTGAAAGGTTCCCTTCTGATGACAGAATGGGTGAAATTAAATTATCTTTATGGTCCTTTCTAACTCAAACTGTTTTATTATTCTCTGATGAAAAATAAAAAGCCATATACCACCTTGAAAAAAAGAAAAAACAATCCCCATGTGATTCTGGAACTATCATTCTTGATTAGTTCTGATAGTCTAATATAGAGAAAATAATAATTTCCACTGGACAAGAATTCAGGCTTGTACCCTCTTAACTGAAGTCTCAGCTTGAAGCCCAAATGAAAAGAACTGCCAAACAAGTCAGGATTCACAGTGCCTGTACCACTCTGGAGATCTCAGGACAGGTTTATATGGCAGGACAAATAGAAATGCATGGCTGTCACTGGCCTACTATTAAGGACGCCTAACATGTGCAGAGCTGAAACAGCAGACCCCAAATCAGGATCCAGCACACCCCAAACCAGCCAATCTTAGCACTAACAAGGAGATCCAGAGTCAGAACCCAGACCAGAAACACTATGTTCATTACAGAACATGGCCATATGAAGCAAGTAAGGACTGAAAAAATACAAATAATGCATCTTTTTTATTTGCAATTCTGAGTCTGTATTAGCATGAACCCTCAAATTTCTAATTATGAATTATCATAACTGCAATACCTTTTCACTAATTGAGAATGAAGTATGTACACCCAACTCCATTTTATCCTGATTTGTTACAATAGGTGAATCAAAATGTCTTCTCCATGTGACAAAATAAGTCAATTTTATGAAATGGAAAGACATGTTAAGTCAAGTCCTTTACATACTGGAATTCACCAGAACAGTGAGCACCTGAAAACCTTGGGAAGACACAGAGGTGCTTTTCACAGAAAGAGTTGCAGAAGTGTGTACTTGCAGAAAACCAGTTCTGCAACACCTGTTACATCTTTATATTATCACAGGGATATTTAGGCTCAGAAGAGCAAGAACCTAAGATTGTCTGTTAGAGCTTTATGACAGTTCTTGAAATTTTAATTAAAGGAGAAAATTATTTTCCTGTTACCTGAAGAAACGCTGGTGGACGATTCCGAGCAGCTTCACTATCTGTATCCAAGAACTTCACAATGCGCAGATATCCAGGATATGAAGGAGCACTAACCTGCCCATCAGGAGTCACAAAGAATATCTGTACTCCCTGGGGAATCAAGATCAGCTCATCTGCATCCACTCCCAGGTTTTCCAGGGGAGGTGGCTGAGTACATTTGTTGTTGTAGTAGTCCTCACCAACGGAAGAAAACTCCCCAGAGTCTGTGCCATAGGACACAGTAAAGTGGCCATTGGTAGCTTGAGGAGTATAGGCAGGAGGTGCTTCATTTGGCAGACAGAGAGGTTTTGCAGAAGATGGACTCATAGCTGGAATCTGCCCCTGACTCACAGCTGCACCACTTCCATCTGCTGAAGGTGGCTGACTTGGTACAAATAGAGAATTAGGGGGAGGGGGTCTTTCTGGCTTTTCTTTGGAAGGAATGGAGGGGTATAACTTGGGCACCCCAGGAGGGGCATCCATCATAGCAGGAGATGCCTGTACTGGTGGAGTGTTTTGCTCTAGACTGCTGAGTCGAGCTCTAACATTTTGCAGGGTCTCTCTCATCTTCTGTTGCATTTGCCTGGCAGACTCCCACTGGGGCCCTACACACGCAGGACCCTCTGATGGAATGCTAATTCCTCGGAGCAAGTGGTCAAGCCCTTGCTCATAGTAACTTCTTGCCTCTTCCTTCTGACCCAATTCATCTGTATTCAGTCCTTTATTGATAAAAATAAAGGCATTCCTGTACTCTTCATTAATGGTTTTAATATTTGCATCTTCTTGCATAACCGGATCCTGCAGTTGTTCCATTACTGCAAATTGGAATAAAAATCAGTAAGAATATACAGAGAGATAGCCAAACAATGTTTACTTTAGAATAAAATGTCTTCTTAATGATGACCCTACTGCATGGATTAGTTGAAATCTATCTAGTTGCTTGGAACGGTGTCTGATGTTATAATTATCTCCTAATAACAATTCAGATTCAGCTGACACAACTCCGAGACAGCAAGGAATCTGTAACCATCAAATCTCATTACATCAGAGATATTTATTTCTTAAAAGTTAAACATCAGAAGAACATGGACATGCCTGATACTAAATATTTCATCTTCGAGATCAGAAGCAAACCAGAGGAATAAACAAATAACTTTAAAAAATCTAACTTTTCCAAAAACATCTCTAAGGCATTAAAAATTCAGTTACCATATTGTCTATTTAAATAAAGGCTGAACTTAGAAACACAGTACATTTCCATTTGAATAATTTAAGAGAAAACACTCAACAGATTTTTAGATCTTGATCAACTGACATCAACAAACAAAACTGTGAAATACTTTGAACAGTTAAAGTTATGCATTACAAAATAAAAACACAGAATTACTTATTTCCTTTACAGTGTTTATAGAGTGAGAAAAGGCAATTGGTGTTTTACAATCCTTGTTCCCCTGGTAACAAAAACTTAAAGTACCAACATGTACAGAAGTTTGCAGGTTCTTCGTCTCTTTTGGAATGTACTCCTCAAAATGTGTGATGTATTTCAATTGAAGAGCGGAAAAGAATCCAGTAGGTTTGTCTGAATTCTAAAATGTGTTAACTCACTGTTTTAACTGTACATAGATTGTTGGTCTTGGCCAAATATAGGAAATACAAATAATTAATTCCAAAGAATTTGGGTTTGGTTTGGGCTTTTTTGCTGGCAGCCTTGAGAGGCATTGTTAATTCAGGAAAATCAGGCAATTATACTAAAACAGAATAATGATTGTGGATAACAAAAATGGGATACTATATTAAATTAAAGAGCAGATATTTTCAAGCAAACCTACGATTCTCTGCTGTAAGGGAGATGAAAGAAAGGAGACATCTGTCAATTCTAATGATATTAAACCACAGAAAATATGGGGGTAAGCAAAATCCAAGGGCAAAAATAAAACTACTTCCACTACATGGACAGAAGCATTGACACCACTGTACAGGGCATTAGTGGAAATTCAAATACTGAGCTACACTAAAGGAAGCTGTGCCAGAAGAGGAAGAGGTGGGCAGGTTTTTTCCTGATTAATTAATCACTCTTCCCTAGAAAGGTGTAGGTTTGGCTTACCAAGGAAATATAATAAAGGCTAAGAGATTGGATTTAATTCTTTTTTCTTTCCCAGTAATTATTTTTTATTTACTGATTTACTTTCTTCTTTTCACTCATTGTATTTGTAGAGGCTAATCCAAACTTGTAATAAGATCCTGAAATAGTACCTACATTTAAGTTTACTTAAAATCTCTTCTTGTTTTAGACTATCAACAAACTAAAAAAATAATCTGGAAATATCCTTCCTCTACTCCAACAAAAACCAGAGAAACATAGCAAGTGCAGGTCATGAAAATATTTTAAAGAGGCAAAGAATGCTTTGTTCTACTCCCACACTCTTTATAATCAAAATGTAGACAACATTTAGGTGACTGATGCATCTGCAGTCACACAACAGAAGTGCCATGTAATCTAGGAGGCATCTGTTTTTATGACGCTACAGAATCCAACTTCACCTAAAAGTCCGGATGCGTGGTTTCAGTATAATAACAGATACGTATCTCGGAATGTAACAGGGCTGCTTGAGAAGGCAGCCCAGTGGAATGGGTCAGCAACTCAAGCCACCAGGTTCACTGCCCACCATGTAGCAAATTTTGGTCTAGAGGAGATTTTTCTGATTGACTACAGTCACTTGTTGCCAAGAGGCTTAGCATCTTTAAGCTAAAGAACAACACTGGCGTAAGTGTGTATTTACTAATCATCAAGGATATCACCTTTAGAAGTTTAAAACTATGCTCCTGACCAGCACAACAGCAAACAATTAGAGTAAAAGCATTTGGAAAGAACTCCTTATAAGGTTATATAGCTGGTTACAGCAAAAAAATAAAATTGAATCCTTACAGAAAAAAAAAAAAACAAACAGAAAAAAAACAAAACCCCAAACAAACAAACAAACAAAAAAACCAAACTGCTGACAGCCAAACCACATCACTGTATGTCAACAACACTTGTATTTACTACTAAGAAACCCACTTTTCCTTTTAATTAGGGTATGAAGATGAAAGCCAACTTAACAGTAAATACTGATTTGAGAATTGTAGTTTCTTAAAACACAGAAAATATTTAGAAGACTGATAGGAATACAAAAAAATTAATCTATCATCACTATTAACTTCTCTGTTGTGCAAAATTTACTGGTTTAAGATTTTTAGCACCTGTATCACCAAGCTCATATAAAGTCCTTTCTCAGGGCTTGAAGTAAATGATTCATTTGCGTGAACACAACTACAGTACAAGAGTCCCCTTTGACCCATGTTTATTGATTTGTTTTTTTCCTGGGTGAGGCTAATGAAAAGATATTTTACAGCTTTCAGGTGATTATTTTGCTAGTGATTGTTAGCATATAACAAGAAGAGACATCAAGTAAAATCCTAACTACATTTCAACTTAATATTTAATTGATTTACTCCTACTCATGCTCACAACAGCACTGTTTTTGCTAAAGCTCAGTCTTTCATGACACTAGAAAAAGTCTGTAAGGAAATGGAGATGTCAGCACCATCAGTGTCCACACAGCACTGGTACACAGCAGAGCTACAAAAGCTGGCTCAGGAATTCTGATTGTCTGAAACATCCCAAGTTTGCAGTACATGTGCAGCATAGCCACCTCCAAATAATGCATTTGGTTGGCTAGCAGAGCACTTGGAAATCACAAGAGGAAGGACACCACAGTGGATTTCAAGCTAAATATGTGAGAACTAAGTCAGCCCAAAAAATTTCATTCATTCTTAGTAATTGATTACAACTAATACAAAAGAATGGATGGTATTAAATAAGCTTATCTAATTGCTCTCTCACGGCACAAGAATAAATGTTATCTGAAAGAGAACATTTAAATAGCAATGTGATCATATCCAAGGAATATCCTCATTCACTATTATTTTCAGTGTACAATCTTAATACAGCATTTAAGTGTCCTACATGTTTTAATATTGTACAGGAGTGATCCACTCCTGTACAATACTGAATCCTGTTTCCTCTGTTTTAAAGCTATAATGAAGGGGGAAATGTGTATTACTGTATACTGAGAGCACTGCAAGTCACTTTGGTCCTATGGCCTGTTCAGATCAGCCCAGATCTGTACCATTTAGTGTTAAGACTGAAATTTAGAGGAACTTGTCTCAGAGAAAGCCAGGCTGAATCCGAGGCAAGAGCTAAAGGACACTGTAGATAATCACAGATCAGTCAAGCACTTGAGCCCTTTTTCTTCTATCAGTACAGATATACTCTGGTTTAAAGTGACTTGACCAAAGGAGGCTACAGTGCAACAATGAAACTTGAATTTGACATCGTAAGCTAACATCTCACACATCCTTCCACTGAAGCAGCAAACCCCACTTCATTAAAAAGTAATTATATTAACAAAAATACAGGTCAATGGTGGATCTCATTGCTAGACTGTAAACATGAAGTCTACGGCTTATTAAGAGGATTAAACAGCCTGATTAACAGAGGTAAGATACACTTGCCAACTCACTATTTTTGAAGGAGAATAGGGGAGGAAAATGCAAATCAAATTTAAAAAAACCAAACAAACCCGAACTAAAACACCCTTAGTCCAAGAGTTCTTCTAATTTGTCAACTGTTTTTCTGTCAGCCACCCATTAAGAAGTACCATGCAAACACAATTGTTTAAGCCTTATTTCTGTATGAAAACAGCAAGTAAGGAAGTATTAGTAACTTTCAAGAATTGAAAAAATTAAACGGTATCTAGAATATAAACTACTACAAGCCAGGTACTAGCTAAGAAATTTACCTTTTTATGCTTTTAGCTTATTTAAATTTTTAAATAAGCTTTTAAATTTTTCATTAAGTGGTGGCCTACTCCTAGTTTTCAAGCAAAGCAAAAAACTTTGCCTGGCTAGATAATATCACAGACTAGACAACAGAAAAAGTGCTATTAAAGTTATTCTTCCCTCTCAAAATCACCAAATACTTTAGTAAACTGCCATCCTCTGACACTTCAATTTACACCTTCTTTTCAGGCTGGTATCCTAGCACCCACATTCATTCAGCCAGCATATCTGATTTTCCTCTTCTACTGCTACTTTAAGATTATTTCTGTCCAAATAAAAGAGCTTCCTTGTTGACTCCTAGGTCTGCACCTCCATCACATGCTGTCACCAGAGCTTTCAGGCCCCGGGTGCCGACTTGTCACTTCTCTAAAAGAGAAAGCAGAAAAACACGAGTGCAGATAATCCCTTGGTCTCGCAGCTGCGCTGCACTGACGCTTTTCGCAGCACCGAAATACAAAGACATTGCACTACCATTCCAAAACATTGCAAGATCGTCATGGAAAATTCAGTGTTATGTAAGACTGCTATTTAATACTATTTCATTAGCTATGTGTGCCTGCGGGTTTCTGATCACTACCGACGTTTTACCAGATACAAGAAACTCAAAACTGCCAGACACGAATCCTTTAGAAACAAAACAAGACAAAATAAAAGGAAACTCCTTCCGAAGTACTCGGCCAAATAACCTCTCAAGACATTCAA